CTCCTCTGCTGCTTCCGGGATTCGAAGGGCACGCTGCACTACGAGCTACTTCCGCAAGGGCATACGGTTACCGCTACCGTTTACGCCGCCCAACTCCAGAAACTCGCGCAAGCTCTTCGAGAAAAGCGGCCGAGACGAGCTTCGGTGCACCTCCTCCATGATAACGCCAGACCACATGTGGCTAAAGAGACCCACCGCCAAATTGAGGAGCTAGGCTGGGAGACCGTTCCCCATCCACCATATTCTCCAGACCTAGCCCCCTCCGACTACTACTTGTTCCGCTCCCTCAAGGCTTTCCTAGGTAAGAAAACCTTCAGCGAATTTGATGGCATCAATCGAGAAGTTGCCTACTTCTTCGACTCGCAGCCTCCTCAGTTCTGGGAGAAGGGGATAGCTGAGTTGCCCATTAGGTGGAGCACTGTAGTGGCTAACAATGGCGATTATATTATTGATTAGTTTTTATTTCATGTTGAGTTAGAAAATAAAAAAAAAAAAATCACAACAGTGACAGGACTTTCTTTCCAACCTATAGTTTTCATGGCAGAGGGTATTGCATAAGCACTTCCAAGCTAGACTTATTTGAATTCGGAAATAGGCAATGTATAGGTCGGCCACCAGCACAGAATGACGGCCCTTTACTCAAGCTTCTTGAGGCGCAGCCGAACGTAACCACCAGTAAGTTGGCAACCTCTCTAGGCTCCACCTAACTGATAACTGCCATGCTTCTCCGCAATCTCGGTTATCGGAAAATTTTTTGTGAAGGATGCCTCATGAGTTGGACCGTCTGACAAGCGCACCGGATAGCCGTGACTGAGTTTTTTTTCCTTGCACACACTGGAAGAACATTTGTGAGATCCTGCGGAGTCCTCGCGCACATCATGCACACATTCCTCGCAGGATCTCTCAAGGAGAAAAGTAGATTGCTTAGCCAAAAGCAGATGTGCATGGGATAAAGATTTCAGTGTGTTATTGGTGGGACTTCGAAGCGGTATCGCTGGATACTAGCACAGCTGTAAGGACCACAGTCCACCCTCAATCATCAAACATGGATGACGTCACGCTTGAATTCATTCAGAAATACTCAATTTTTCTCTACTACTCGGCAATGCGAAGACCGCATGTGGGATCAGGCTACGCCAAAAGATCATGGATCTCGATCAGAGAATGCGACCGTACCCAGCTTATTTATCAAAGTTAGCAGCCTCTAATTACCACCTCCTTTGATCCCTACCGCATCCTTTAGAAAGCAAAAATTCCGAAAATCGACGTCTACTCGAAAATGAGGTCCACCTCTTCTTTTTATCATAGTTGCCGTAGTTCTATGAGAATGGAAATGAGAAGCTGTGCAAAAGATGGGCACTAGTCCTAGTCATCAACTGTGGTTACCTTGTAGATTGGAGGTGTCTTTTAGTGAAGGAAAATTTGGTCCGAAAATTTGGTCAAAGTGTCGCAGGACTTTCCGTCCAACCGAATACAATCAATAGAGTAGGAAGGTGGACTTTGAGCTCAGCCGCCTACCTCCAAATTAGGGTGGAACAGCTTTTTTCACTATAGCTGGTTAGCTGTCACCCGTCTGGAAGGTTCCGCGGTCAGATTGGTTGTATTGCACAAACCGAAGAACTTCGTTTTTGATTTACCTTTCCTCCCTTTGTATCTACACGTCGCGGCGAAGATTTGCGAGCTAGCATCGTACCTCGCCGCCCTCCCTAGCCTTATCTGTTCTTTAGCAGGCCAAGGTCGTGGTGGAGGGCTCGCTCACAGGCTGCGTGCCTGGTCGCGCAATTTTCTCAATTCTCACCTGCTCAGCCTTATTTGCGGTAAGCACGGTTGAGTCTATAGGTTTGTGATGTCGGTGTTACAGTAACAACTCCTTGTCTATCCTTAGTGCTAACCTTGTTCCCTAGTATATAAAACTGATGTGCCTAGAATTATGCAAGATGGTGAAGCACATTTAGCTTTTCGCATTTTGACTACGAACGGAGGGGGTTTATCGAATAGATATGGGTGTCTGTTCGTTTTATTCACACAACACACCGAAGTCCACTTCGCGCACTTCGTTCGTCGGTAGCGTTGACCTACTTTGCTGTAATTGCTCTTCCGTGATATCGCTGCACCCAAATGGGGCTTCCGGATTATGAGAGTTACGTGTTCCTTCAATGTTTAGCTTGCTGTTCTCCATACTATCGCATTATCACAAAGAGACTTAGTACTTCAACGTGATTGCTAGGTTAATCTGCGCCATAACGACCGATTCATCTTTCATGTGATTGTCTCGTATTCAGTCCTTGTACCGATCTAATCTGACGGTGATCTCGTTCCATTTATGTCCAGTTACGTGCTAATTGGCTCCTTCTTCCCATAACGAGCACCATAATTCCATTAAGAACTTCGGTCGTCTCAAGAGTGACATTTTAATGTTGAACCCTTGATTTTTCTATTCTCTCACAATTAGTCAAATTCTTTTGTTTTCCTTTTGATGTTCAACGTTGATTTATTCGCAGCACCACTGCCACAGACTTCGATCAGAAATGTTCAACAACTGGTAATCTCACCTTGGCATATGCAAACAAATGTCTTCATCACCATGCCAAAAATACATGATCTTTGTTCAAGAGCAAAACCCACCATTTCATGGTCATTTGGTTTTATTGCTACTTTATCTGAAGGCGATGTTTTTCTCAACTCTCGCGGGGTGAAAAGGACCACGACTGTTGAACAAGATATTTGAGGTTGTCTGCGGTGTGCAAGAGAAATCGCATAGATGAAGAAGGTTAGGAAGGAGACTGAAACCATTCAAGCCTAGACTCTTTGAAAATAATTGTCGTTATCCCATTCGAGGGTGCTGGTTTCTGGGCAGGAATACCGAACAGGAACCGATGGTGAGGCGAACGCCAATTCATTTCCTTTCCACCGGCTTCCTCTTCGGAATCAGGCTTGATTGAACTTATCAGCAGAGGTAGTTTTGTCCCCCAAATAGCGCCTTCTGGGACAAGGAGCACGGCGTCTTGCTCTATCAACTCATGGCCGCGCTAGAAGCGCCGCCTTCATAAGAGTGTTTTGGTATCGGTGCCAGTAGTCCAATAGGCGTTCCCCTGCAAGACACATGTGAGATACGCAAGGTGGTTTCACCGCAAGACGATGTTTAGACCAAGTAAGCTCCCGTGGACAGATTACAGATTTTTATGGATATCCAGCTCAAATTAGGAGTGGATTCATAAAGTCACCCTAACATCTCTCCAAAAGGAATAAAAGGATAACGTTTTCGCCGTTGCTCAATCTCTTTAGGGGATGCGGCACAATATCTATTTCCATTCAGAATCGTACTAGAGATGTTGTCTATACAATGACTTACGGGGGCCACCGATGATGACCATTCGTCAGTGTTTTTATTCCTCTCAGACAAATCTGGTACCAATTTACCGTCCCCGGAGGGTAGAAGGCTTGTTAGCCTTGGCGGGAGTCGGTCTAAGACTTGATGCCCGGAACGTGCGCGTGCTATGCTCGCCCCTTCCCACTACACAACCGCCTCTAGAGGGAAACATAACTTATTTCTACTGCTTATGGTTTTCTCTCCGAGTTCTCGAACTCATATGCAAGTCTCGCTAACATCTTCCTTATTATTCATAGATCGTAATAGTTTTGGAGTATCAATTGCGCAGCTTCGCGTGTGTGGAACTAATTAGATGAAAGGCAAGTAGCGCCGGACAGCAAGTACATTGGCAGGAAGTGAACTGCGGAACCGCAGTGAGAACCGTTCCTTTTTGTTTTATATACGGTTTTTGAACATGCAAAGACGTCGGGGGAGAGGGATCGCGGAGAATATAGAGGAATTGGAGTGTTCTCCCCGGTTCTCCCCAAATGGTTCCCTTTCCAGTCTTTATGCCATAATTCCCAAAGAAGTGGTAGTACAGCGAAAAGTCGTTAGAAATGGTCGTTACGCTAGTTTTCGGGAGGTTGGATACATGACGAAAATCGTTTGCTCAGCGTTCATTTTCGATTTCGTCGTCCCAGATTTTGCCGTCCGCGAAGTCGGTGTAAGAGGTGCGTTTATGGAAGGTTAGCAGATGATCGAGATTTTCCTTAGAATCTCGTGATATCACTGAACTTCGCAGCAGTATTTTATAAAGGCATCATTAGAGAATGATCTCTGGACATGTTTCATTGGACTTCCATCTTTTTCCTTTTTCATTAGTTTATTTTTCATATATCCATTCATGTTGTTTAGGCGAGGACGCCGCTGTTATAGAAGACTACCTTGTTAACGTCATTTGAGTCAAACTTAGCAATTATTTCCGGAAATTTCCCTCGTTCTCTTTCCTGTTTTGATTACTCTTAAGCCATCTCTACTTGCTCGAGTTTTTTTATGATCTTTTTTCGTTTATTCTAAGAAAACAGTCACTAGGAGTAGTGTGATTTAGTCTTTTGGATCATAGTTCATTTCAGGTATGCGACACCTATTTATATTAATTCTCCTTATACGTATATCCTTCGGTCAGTTCTGTAATTACTTTTGTTAGTTTTTTTTACTAAGAATTTGTATTTTCATAAGTTATTAGCACCAGGAAAATTGTCAACTTAGATTGCCTTGGAATCTAGTCTTTATCTGGTGTTGCGAGAACTTTTTTCTGCACTCCTTACTCCTCACAGCACAGCCTCTTTAAATATGCTTGAAATATGGACTTCACTCACCCCGGAATTACTTATTGAGGGTAGTTTTGCCAAGAATCGTGTCCTGGGCAGCTTGCACGTATACAATATCCGTTTTGTGTAAAAACGTTGAGGGTGCGTTCATACTTTTGGCAACGTCAACCAGCGTTTCGAGAGCCCGTCAACGTCAGCGACGAGGAAAGTATTCATTTTGATCTAGCAAACGCCAGCGTTCACCAGCGACGGGAGTAGAGAGTATGGGGAAGTAGGAGGGTAGCGAACAGCTGGATTAGGGGTTATGAATTTGTGGTGTGTGCAACCGCACCGTACTAACACAATACCGTACATTAAATTACATAATTCTGTACTTTCGGAGTTGTTCGGCGCGGTTGCACATCTCGCAATCACGACGCCTAATTGAGCTGTCTGTTCCTTCCTTCTTCCCCATACTCTGTAAGCAGGCAGCGTCTGCTACTCTCCTACTTCCCCATACTGTCCATTCCTGGACGCTGGTGGACGCTGCCGTTCGCTAAAACGATATCTTTACATTCCTAGTCGCTGAGGCTGAAGGGTGCTCGGAAGCCATGAATTGCATCCCAAGTGTTTCACTACAAGCGTACTCGCGCCACGCTTATGTGAAATTTGTACTCATGGAGACGAGCTACGCCACCCCTCCAGACAAAATTGCCACCGAATCTGTCCTTGGAGGAAGTTGACCAGCTCAGAGTCAAGTTTTTTTTTCTATCGCTATATGTTTAGAAAAAGAGTCGCCATGCAATCCCTTCTATGTTCGGTGGCCTCGAGTTCGGCTAAATTTCAAGCCAGTCGCTAACGCACGGCTGTCACTTCGTGCATGTGAGAATGCATGCTCGCTCGGTGAAGACCCACAAATGCCAGGTAGCGTAAATTAATTTTGGTAGTAACCTTATAGTAATATTTTCTGCAGCAAATGATTTGACTTTTTCGTGAATTTTCAAATTACAGGCCGATTATTGGAATGTGCTGCTTTGAACCACCACCCGTCGCCTGATGGTTATGCCCATCATTGTGACGTCTTTCAACCACATCAGCTTCAAAATGTGGATGGCTACGTGGAAGCAGACGATCGCTACTCTTTCTACTGGAAGTATTGCCTCAACAGTAAGCATTTGCTCTTCATTCCTTCGTAGGCTTGGTTATTTTCCAGAACTTTTTGTGTCTTTTGATTCTAATTGACGCCATAATAACCTACTAAACAATCTTGAAGGCCATCTATTTCCTGTGTAGTTTGGAGCTCCAAAACTGTTATGTTTTGCGCGGGATAGAATCTTAGATAGTATCTACGTCACGAATTCATGCATTGTTCGTTGATGCGATGAGTGCAAAGAAATCTATGTAAGTTCCCTTACCCTCACCAAAGTTGTGCTTTGTGACAGAAAATCCCTGCTGGAAGTCGGCGGCAGATTGGCGCTTACCGCGCTCATGGTCCGGATCTCTTACTGGCTTCGCTCCAGACCAACCAAATCATTCATTCTTTTGAGGTGGGCAAATCGTTACCGGACTTTTCTGGGAGCATAAATCATTAACTTGTTCATTGGCTGGTCTCCATAAGCCTTTGTCAAGTCATGTTTCATTCAAAGCCACTTATACTTAGTGCTGGTGCACTCCAAAAACTTCATCAACTCCAAAAGCTTCATTATCTTCGCAGAAGTTAATATATAGTGCATCTCGGAGACAAAAGTGGTCATGTTCGGGAATATCATACATCAGATTTTGCGGCGTTACTCCAGCATATTCAACGAGTCCCACTAAGGATCGATTAACCCTTGCATTTCACGGAGCCAGCTGACTGGTTCGAGTTCGATCTGGGGAAGTCGACTTTTGCATGGGCTAGTCCCCGCACATTATTGCATCGACCAAGTACTCATTCAGATGTCACACATGGTGCGTTACGGAAGGGGTGCAATGAACACCAAATGCTCGACCCTTCTGGGCATAAGGTTCTTGCTCAAGGCGGTACCGCGGCATCACCCTTTTAGTATCAGCCACGCATTCGATTCCCATTAACAATCCTTATAAACACGGTGATAGGCGGTGTCGTGGCATCACCGTGTTTATAAGGATTGTAAATGGGTTGAATGCGTGGGTGATGCGAGAAGAGTTTGTAAACTGCGCGCATTGCCACTTTATTCTTCATGGCGAGGTGCTCTATTCCCTAGAAGTAACTCGTCTATTAATGAAACCTTATTTAATTAGTTCATCTGTGACTATTTCAGCAACACGTAAATGTGGAGGAGAGTACGCCTTTACCTATCATTCTGACCGCTATATGGACGCACGAGATGTAACTCGAGTAGTTAAGAAAGGCAGTTTAGAAGAGTGCCTCGTCGAATGCCTTGATGAGAAAACGTAAGTGATTTGCATGCCTTCTGCGTTTGCTGCTTCTGGTTGGGAGAGGGTGGGGGAAGGCTAAGCGGTGCAACTTTTCCAATTTCAAGAACCTTTGTAATCAGGCCACGGGCACCGTTCCGTGCTCTCATTGCAATACTCCATGATTTCCGCAATTTTATTAGGGTGTCCGGAAAGTTTTGAGAAAATTCGGTCATTTTATTCAACACATATTAACAACAAGAAAAGCGAAAAATCAGTAAGGATACTTTCCTTCCAGAAAGAAGCAGGCCGGAACGCAATCCATTCATCGACCATACGCTTGACATCCTGATGGTTGTTGAACATCTTACCCGTAGCGTAAGCCTGGAGACTCCTGAAAGCATGGTAGTCACAAGGGCTAAGGTCAGGTGAATACGGAGGATGGGGCAGCCATTCGATTCCTAAATTCTCCAGCTCGTCCCTTGTCGCCTTCGCATGATGTGGCCGGGCGTTGTCCATGTCGATGTGAAATTTGCCCCGGTACTGATGTGAAACTGGAGCTCTGGACACCAGCTCTCGTAGTTGCTCAAAGAATATCGATGATGTTTCAGTAGTACCCTCATGACGAATCTCATAATAAATGCAGCCGGTGGAGCAGAAGAAAAACGAGAGCAAGTCCTTCTTGGCGTGGCATCCTCGCTTTGGAACGGGCTCTGGCTTTTGGTCCAACGGCAACCACTCCAGTTTCCTATCCGGGTTTTCGTACGAGATCCACTTTTCATTCTGAGCAGTTATGAAACTCGCTCAAGTCGTCGTTCGTTCTCGATCGAAGAGCTTCTGGCATAGATCGACCCTCACCGCACGTTCCCTTGCGGTAAGAGACCGCGGAATTCCGGGCAGAGCCGCGCGGAAGCCGTTCCTTTTCAAATGCCGTGAATAGTGGATCGAGAAGTGGAAGTCGTCCTCTCCAACTCCCTCAAACTTTGGGCAGGATTGGTCCTCACAGAAGCCAGAACGATGCCAGTGTTGGAAGAGGGAGGGCGTCCGCATCGAGGTGCTTCATCGAGGCTAAACTCTCCCATTGCGAAGCGATCGTACCACCTGTAGCAGGTTGCAAGAAAGGGTGCATTGCCACCCATCGACGACAGCGACTCATTCCTCGCTTGAGTGGCGGAGCGGCCGGAACGGTAAAGATGAAGTAGGATGCGTCGACTGTAGTGTCTGTCGCACATTATTCGATTGGTTACAACAAAGGCTAATGACGAAATGAAATATTGATCAGCTGCTGATTTGATCTACAGACAATCCTCTATCTTCCCATGTTTTGATCTACAGATTTGCTCATGGCCTTCGCGCGCTACGCTTTTTCAAAGTGAGGCAGCGAAATTTTCTCAAAACTTTCCGGACACCCTAATATTAAAATAATGTTAATCGTTTTTATGGCTTTTTTGTCACGTGGGCTCATATCTGGCCCATTAGTAATTAATACACAGTTGAAAATGCTTAGCGTAAGCATCTTTCGTCGGAAAAACTTGTGAAGGCTGATGTAGAAGGAATAGAAATTGATGCCCCTTTTTCTTATTTCGTTATTAAGTTGTTCTTGACAAGTCCGCTGCTTCTACTTTCATTGTTTTTTTTTGCATTAAAACTTAGCAAGCATACTGCCGCCTGCGTAATTATCTAATTGGGGTACATTGCAGTGTTCCGTGTCGCTCGATTTCATTCAATCGGACAGATGGTGGATGTCACGTATCAGCGGATAGTCAGCTCACTAAACCGCAAGCAATCCACCTTAACAATAACCCAAATTTCCGAATTGATTACTACGAAAACAACTGTTACAACTGTAAGTTATGTGATAAGTAATCTGTTACTTTGTTCATAATTTAGCTGTAGCTGTCTGTTACGGCCTTTCTAAAGACTGTTTGATGTAAGAAGCAGTTCTGTGGATTAACTGCTGACGTCTGACCTAGTTGGTACGACTACTTTTCGGATTAGAAAAAGGCACACGATGGAGTAGCTCAGTAGTCTGCAGGGGATTAAGTGGACGCACAATGGCTGACCTCTCGTGTCGCCTTTTGACATGGCATTGGGGAAAGTCTGAGTGCAGGTGGTAGTTCGCAACCGGTTATTGATGTCCGGGAGGCCAGTGTCCAGAATTTACGGGCAGGCGTAATCCGTTCAGACTACTCCAAACAGACGGACACTGGATTTAATTCAGTGCTAATCTGTGTGGAACATGTTTCATTGAAGGATAGGTGGGATTTTCTATGCTACCAAGAAGATGTGTGAAAAGACTGCATTTTGATGGCTCCGCGTTTTTCTCTTTGGTCATCCCATCGAATTTTGAATGAAATCCAAAAATCCCTGAAGTCAGGCTAGGTGTGACATGCTCAACCACAACTCTGCATGTGCTGGGGATGGGAGGGCAAAAATACCTGCCTCAGGAAATGATGTAGAGCGCGGAGTGCACAACTGTCTGCTCCCTGAACTCGTTTTCATGAAGAAAGGTTGCACTCATTGCAGTATCGAAAGCTTTTCGCTTCTTCTGCTAACGGTTGCTTAACGAGAGCGTTTGCACGTTTTGAACTCTTCCACATATGAAACACTATCTATAGTGTAGTTCTCTGCGGACGATTGGGCGTCAGTGAGGCTTTGGCGCAGTGCCAAACTCATTCTCCTCCAGTTTTCAAAGCGAACAAATGATATAACGGCATTTACCCTTTACTGCCCCAGTCATCCGAAATCAGGCCAGTTCCTGACCGACTTTTTTCTCCGTGGGCAGAATTTGCTGAAAACTTGGCTCCAGGGGTAGTTCGACCCGCTGAACACGAATATCGCATCCGCTTGACCCGAAACCTCCTGGCGCCCGCGCCACGGGCGCCGGCGCCAAAATACTCGAAATCACCAAATTCGCTGAAAACTTGCTCCCAGGGGTAGTTTGACCCCCTGAACACGAATATCACATCCGCTCAACCCGAAACCTCCTGGCGCCCGCACCACGGGCACCGGCGCCAAAATACCCCAAATCATTGGCGCCTGTGGCGCGGGCGCCAGGAAGTTTCGGGCTGAGCGAATGTGATATTCGTATTCTGGAGGTCAAACTACCCCAGGAGACAACATTTGAGCAAAATCTGCCCACGGAGAAAAAAGTCGGTCAGGAACTGGCCTGATTTCGGATGACTGGGGCAGTAAAGGGTAAATAGTGCCGATATAACTGTATCATATCAATCGTATTACTCGTTTTCTACCATATTTTGTCGCATGCGCGCTTGAACGAGTGGCAGAGAACAGGCCTTGACGCTGTGCACACTCATACTGGCTGACACGCCCAACCGTCCGCAGCGAAGAAGAGTGCAGTAGGTTCTTGAAGCGATTCTACCAATGTTTTTGAGTTGTGTACATTGATGTTACATTTCTTTGCAAAAGGCGGAGATGGTGTAGTGGAGAGTAGCACGCTTGCCGCGCGCACGGTCCGTAGATCGGCCGGCTCTCCCCAGGCCAATCGAGCCTTCTTTCCTCCAAGGACCAGATTAAGGTATTTGGTGTCAGATTCGTTTGGGAGGATGAGAACACTGACTTGTACATCGGCGGCCCCCGCAAGTCATTGTATAGGAATAAGCCACTACGATTCTGAATGGAAGTAGAATGCGTGCCGCATCCCACAAAGGGATTGATCAACGGCGAAGACTTTATCCTTTATCCTTTTTAGTGCAAATCGTTCACTGAAGCGCTTACTCTACCAGTATATATTGTGGCGCATCTTTGTTCGACAAACATTTCGGCTTATTCATTTGAGACCGAAAAAATTCAAGTTAAAGGCAGTTGGTACGATAATTTGGTTCTCAGCCTAGAAATGCTAGCAGGGCGCTATCTAGTGGTAAAATGGCGAAAAAACGAAGTGAAACGGTCAAAAACTGCGAAGAAAAGCCTTCGTTCTTGAGAAGCAATTTCGGACGAGTTTCCCGTAGGCGTGTTGCAAATAACCGCTCCGGCAGGTACGGCTGCCTGTATGTACTCATATATCCATTCAGCACCGCAGCCGCTTCATACTAATCCCTTCGCTTTATGTTTTACTCAGCAAATGAAGCAAAACGAGCATCTGGTAAGGTCGTCCATTTGTGGGCGGGCGGGCGTGGCGGGCGTTTGGGTCGGAATGTTGTAGCTTGATAGGACCCTTATAAGGGTACCTCCCTCGGAAAAACCGCTATGCAGCGCTCTACTCAGGGTCGCGGAAATCCGCCTTGCACTCGCTCTATCCTACTCCTTTTTAAGCTCGTGCCAATGAGGCGGAGGTGGTGTAGTAACAAGTGGCGCGCTTACCAGGGTTCGAATCCCGGGTCGACTCCCGCCCAGGCCAACCAAGCCTTCTACCCTCCGGGGACGGTAAATTGGTACCAGATTCGTCTGGGAGGATAAAACACTGACTTGTACATCGGCTGGCCACCGCAAGTCATTGTATAGGCCACATCGCATTCAATAAGCCACTACGATTCTGAATGGAAGTAGAATGCGTGCCGCATCCCACAAAGGGATTGATCAACGGCGAAGACTTTATCCTTTATCGTTTTATCGTGCCAACTGCCTTTAAGTGCGACCTATGGAGTGCCATTTAATAAAATGGCCCTCAACAATGAGTCGCTCTTCTCTTGAACTTTACAGACTTTGACGAGGGTGACCAAGAAATGTAACCTGAATAAAGCTGTGTAAACTCCTGTTTTTAGAAACGTATACTAAAAACATGATACTCATACGATGTCAAGGTTCATAGAGGTCATAGGGATTAAATGTTCTCATAAAGTGTTGACCTCGCTTGACTGAACACATCGAATACTCTCGGCTACTATTTAATATTCTTCATGAGCAAGTGTCATACCTTAAGACGATGCATCCTGTATGCTGTTCGCTTTCTTTCAGTATCCGACACATTCAAATTTGAACAAGTTTGCCGAGACGATGGGATCCTTATCAAGGTATGGAGCTTGATTCAGAACTCTCAGACTGAACAAATATTATGCGAAAAATTTGTTCGTTATACAAAAAAAAACGTCATAGCAAGGATGTAAATTGGAAAGTAGCAATAAAATCACTGGGTTCGCAACTTTTGCTTTGCTCCACACTTCTTCTCGAATGACACAAAACTTTTTGTAATGGCATTTTGGTCCCTAAACTTTCTAATGGTCCTTTCTAATGAGCCCTAAACCTTCAGCTGCTAATGGTCAAAAAAATAAGGTACAACAGAGCGGGGTGATTTTGAGAGCCTCGAGTCGCTCTATATCTGTTCATTCTCATGTGCAGTTCTCGTATATCTTATCCCATGAACCCAATATCCTCTTTGAGACAAACTGTGCACTCTACTCCAAAAATCCGCGACATTGCCATGTGTTAGATAAGGGGCCGCTGCTGCAGTAGCGTGCCACTGTCTCTTGTCGAAAATGCACGGGAACGAGGCTGAAGGGTACTGATACCCACGTGCCGTCTCTCAACTCCGCCCGCTCTGCCACACTGTCCCCACGTCTTACTATGGCTGGACTTGCTGCTTGTCTGCGCCCTCTCACTTCTGGTTGTTCTCTATCTCCGAGTGCGCGTTTCACAGCGGAAGCTTGGCATCGACGCAATTGCTGCACGTTGAGGATAGCGTGGGCGGAGCATCGGACGGCACTCGATTGTCAAAGCCCTCCAGGCACTGACTGCAGTTGCGGATCTATACCCTTCGCACATGGAACGTCCGTCATCGAAGGTGATTGTACAGTTTGTCTCTGATAATTGTTTGAACCTTAAATGTTGCCAAATAAAGTCGAGCGGAGTTTTATAAAGCACGGAGGAAACTAATTCCCAAGTAGCAATGTAATTGTGTGTATTCTTGTGCACAGGGGTATTTCCAGTAATTGCCAGTACCTGTGCGGCAGCAGAAAACTATCACAACGCTGCAGAATGACAGCGGAGAGGCGAATGATTGGCGAGAAAAAAAGATAAAAGAGGTAAAAGGGGTCAGGCGGAAGAAATGTGAGGGAGGAATCTAGTGAATGAAGAAAGTGTAGTACACGTGGAAGAAGTGGGGCAGAAATCACGCTGCAAGGGGACTTCTGGACAGCGCAAGAATATAAAGAGTTATGAATACTGATTTGGAAGGATGGTCATGAGGAAAGTGAATGAGGTAGACAAAGAAGGAAAAAAACCAGTGTCCGTATCCGACCGGTTCCTAATTTAGAGATTATTATGTGCACGTCACTGTTTCTGCTGTAGACTCAACAGATTATTTAGTTCATTGCTTAATACCCGTACCAACTATTTATACAGACTGTTATTGATTGTACTTCGCTCTTCAGCAGCCCCGCTATCCTTTAATTGAATCAGCATTTGTACTCTAGGTGAAAAGCATGTTCCCCTACACTGGTGCTCTTTACGGGCTCTACGATTTCTTCACGTGCCGAACGGAACCGAAAGGATCTAAGGAGTTTGAGTATCTCTTCCCCTCTCCTCATTCATCGAAGAACTGCAGCGATAGCATACGATTTCAGGTAATATTTTTCTGAGGTTTCAGGTTTGCATTATTCTTCTCGTTAAGCAGAGAAAAAGAGTCTTACCACAGGAGAAAATTGTAATCAACATTTTCGAGCCGCCTGTACCGCCGAGTACAAAAAAAACTCCCTCCAAGCGAATCGTGTACACCTGGGAGTACCGTGTCTCTTCGCTCGCACTTTGCGATTTTTTACTGGCCAACAATTATAGTACAAGCAAAATAGAGATAGTTCTAATACGTTTCAGGAGGCCTATATGCTGGAGTGCATACGGTCTCCCTACCCATTTCGGCTATTTGTGTACTCTCAGAAGTACACGCGCCTTTTGCCGTTTCCCTAGTGATTTTCCTTATTTTTTGCTGGAGCTTATTTACGAATAATAATGCAAATAATACACAAATGATACTACGTACGTTTTATGACACACGGGCATGAAGGCAATGGCCAGTCTAGGCGCTAGTCCGAACAGCAGCACACGTCTGTAGCAGAGAAGCAGGTGTCCTTAAAACTGGCACACGATATAGCTGTTCAAAATGGCTATGAAACACCTTGGACCTCCGACAAATGCAGACGCGGTGGTAGCTTCATAAGCGGCAAAATCCCTTGTATATTACCATTCGTCTCCGAGGAGGTGCGCTTTTGTAAGGAGGTGCTTGAGCCGATTTGGGTAACATAGTAGCCATTGTAAATGTACCACCCAATAACCTAAAGCGCCGCCTGGTGAGGAATCGATTGTACGACCGCCTATGTACAACCCCCGATTGTGTGGTCTGCCCGACCGGCAAAGAGGGTGATTGTACTATGACAGGGGTGGTCTACAAAATCACCTGTCGCAGCTGTGGGGACCAGTACATCGGCGAGACGGCTCGTCCGCTTTGCGTGAGGGTGAAAGAGCATCTGGATGGCAAGAACAGGTCACGCTGTCTACTGCCTTGGGAGCCCAAGGGTTTTAATCCACAACGGAGAAGATTTTGGAGTCGCGGCTGAGGTCTTGGCGCGAGAGGCACAAACCTCCGCGCGAAAAACCCTCGAGGCATTCTGGATCCAGGTCATCGATCCAAAAATGAACCGCAGAGAAGAGTGCCTCACTATCACGCGGGCCTATATAAGGTTGGCGTTCCACGTGGGGCTCTGAATGTAGAGCAGTCCGATTCGGTCCAGCAGCCAGCCTCGAGGAACGGGCTGTGTTACTGTAAGTGGTCTTCCTCGTGATTGGGTGATGACTGATTCGGGTCGAACTTCAGTCGCACTGCAGAGACATTTGCTCGGATATTCGCAAATCGTTTCGGCCCTTTCAGACTGATAAGTCGGTTCTGCCGAAACCTGCGAATAAAGTGGTATATCAACCTTGCGAGAGTTTCTACAGAAGAAAATCAACACTACTACAACTACGCCGTGATTTATTGGGAGTCGTACTTGGCGACTTGCATTCTTATTTGGATATGATTCCTAGTGAAGATCTTCCCCGTCCGATTCCAGTCAAACTCAGGAAGTACGAAAAACCTACTTATTCTACCGAAATTTGCATGAAAACTCGTCTAAAAAGAAAACGTAGTAGAAATTTTGAAAAAAAAACCGAACATGGGCATGTTCTGCCAAAAACGCCCAACGGGAGTTTTGGCGTGTCGTCCACCGCGAACGCAGCGTACCACAAACGGGAGTTTTCGGCGAAATGGCGTTGCCGCGAGCGTGGTAAGGATGCAGTGGGTGACATTGACATAGCCTGTGGTTCACTTACAGGTTCACTTACTACGTGCTTTCTTGCTTTTCATATGGCACTGAAAGTGTGTGATAGGTGTGTTGTGTACAAGTGAGTTTCTATCTTTCAGGGAAACGAAATGATTTTGGATGTCGTTCTTTCAACAGATGGAATTGAACCGCTATATTTCATCACGCCAGACGACCTCACTTTTCGAGCAAAATGTCCTCTAAACTCGTCGAAGGCAAATAGTCGAACGGTTAAGATTGTAGAGAGAGAGGATCCGTAAGTTCATCCACTTTGCTATGTGGCGCTAGCAAGTGCAAGAAATTTACTGGGGTAAAAATGCAGGTAGGAAAGGGGTCACGCGCGGCGCGACTGTGTCACACCTCATTCGTTTTGATCTCCCACTGTCTTGCCATTCTTTTCGAAGCTTTGAAGGTATAATACTGCGTTCATACTTTACGTTAGCGTACATCAGCGTTTCGAGCGAAGGCCAGCCTTAGCATTTAGTAAAATGTAGCTATCAATCTGACGAACGTCAGCGTATGTCAGCGAACACGTTTTCATTTTCTCAGGTTCGAACTGCCCGCAAAAACACGGGCAGTTGGAGCGTGATCACTGTCCGCAAAAACGCTGCTGTACGCTAGCATACACTGGCGCACGTTAGATCGATATCTATAGCTTCCCTGGTCGTTCGATACGCTGTCGCACACTGGTGTACCCTCTCACAAAGTATGAACGGAGCCTAATTCATTGGTGTAGATATAATTTTTGTATTCACAACAGATTTCCCGCACAATGTATGCCGTGAACCACTTTCAAACTATTTCCGACGATATATGGGCAGTAGGGAGGGACATAGAGACATGGTGTGGAACAGTCGCGCCGCCCTCTGTCCTACGAGCTTCAGTCAAACGCACGCACTGCTATTTTAGTTGTTTATCATTGGTTGAGCATGCTGACGTCACTGCTCAGTTTTCCTGCACAAAATGCGTTTCAGGGCTAAAGCTGTAGGCGAGCCAACAGCATCACCTCGCTCTGGAACAACGACAAAAATTGACTCGTCATCGTCATCCCAGCGAACTTCAGTCACAAAAGCAAAGCTCTTCAAGCAAGTATATCCACTCCCTCTCACAACCACAGTCAAGTCTACAACAAATCGAACAAGCGACACGTCTTTCAAGCAAGTTGTTCAGCAAATCATAGCACACATTGTCAACTCATCTCGAATCGATGACTTTCTCAAGAGTAACATTAGCGATATCTTAGACGATCCAAGCATTTCAACGGACCAGCTAGACTATCCAGTCTTTAGATCACAGTTTCACGCTCCAATTTTTGAATATTTCTCGACACTTGTAGCCAGTTATGATTCAGTAGAGACTGGGACTACAACCACAAAACCTTCAATGGAAAGTGATCTCCCTTTCAGCAGCGGTCGTGTAGAAGAAAGTACTTCTGTTTCCCCTCAGTACTCCGGGGAATCTGTTATTAATTCTGGACTGGTTTCGAGTGGCACAATTGATATTGAAGAAAGACCATCACAATTTGCGGTAGCACCTATCTGGCCTCAAAATGTGTCATCTCATACTTCAGTTTCTCCTAATGGATCAATCATCGAGGTGATGAAAGTCACTGAGAGAATGGGACTCAATACTGCAAGTAATCCACAAGACCCAGCTTTTGTGCTGTTGTTGAATGCGGAGCAGGAAAACGCCATAAGCGTCACCAAACCAACGTTTGACTCACAAGCCCAAAAGATTGAAAATTCTACTCCTTCCTTCCTTTTTAGTAGCAGAATAGAAGAGCTCATAAGGGTAGCACTGGAGAAGTTATCACTCAACACCACTCAGCCCTCACGGTTTACGATTTCCGGAGTCGCTCCCAAACCGGAAGCTCGTCAACCGAAGCTCCACATCGGATCAGCTTCTTCAAGCACTGAAGGATTAGGCCATAATCCAAAAGGTTTATCTGCTTCGGCAAAGGTTGCGAGTAGCTCACAGTCTGAAACAGCCACAACTTCGTCTGCTTTGCCAATGCGCTCAAGTACACTAACCATACAAGAACTCCAGAGAAAGTCTTCAAGAAATCCATCTTCTTCGAATAAATCTACGAAAATTCCTCCTAGTGCCGAAACCACCACTACAGTTGTCATGCGAACTGAGGCGTTGCCCTCAAATGTCGAAGAGCATTCTGATAATACTTCACAAACTAGTAATAATGTGACGAACGTTACGGAAAGTGCGCCCTCTGCACCTATTGCAGCTTCCACTATCTTGTCAAATACAACAAGCGCGGCTCCTACTAGTAAAGGCTCAGGGGCTAGACGGAATTCTACGTCGAGGGACCCTGTGAAAAATTTTCCAAGTTTTCTTGCAAAAGCAGCTGTGGTCAAGCCAAGGAAAAAAAACTCGCCGGATGTTGAGAAAGTCGAAAAAACTACTTCTAACAGCTCTATCGGTGGTTCCCACTTTGAATCCTCCATAAGCACGACCACTCCGCCGTCTACACTCAATGTTGAATTTGTCACAACGGAATTTCAGAGCACCTTCAGAACTCCACCTACTTCGAGCTCCTCTTCGGGTAATTCTTCAGTTGATCTTCAATCTACAGTTTCTGCAATTCTCAGACGAATGCTCCAACGTGTCGCTACTATGGAAGAGCAACTTGGGGACATTCCATCAAGTTCTGATCTTCTCCTTAATTCCTCACTTCTTGACCGTGCTGGAGCCACTGCTGGCCTTGCAAGGAGCACAACTGTCACCACTCCAGTCAAGCAATTAGCTGATTTCTCACAGAACACTTCCGTTCTGAAGAACTCCAGTGAAAACTCTGAAATACAAAGTCCAATGACTACCAAGGTCACACTAATGAGAAAAGTTACACACATCGAAAAAAACTTTGATAATACCTCGCAAAATGAAACAGGGTCTACAGTTTCTATGTATACCTCTCAGTCTGAGCCTTCGTCTGTAGTAACCGTCCCATCAACCACTGCAAGTCTGGGAGATGTTGAGAAAGGTCTCGGTAGTACTTCACAAAATTCTGTTGGCCCAATAATTCCTACGAATGATTCACAAATTGAAAATGCATTTGTGACAGCCGTAACAGTGCCTAGCAGCGGCATGGCACTTATTGTTTGCACGGAACAGTCTAGCACTTCAGCAGAAAATGTAACTGATTCAGGAACCTGGGCGGAAAATGTAGATATATCCACGTCGACAACGATGGCAATTAACAGCATTGCAGATTTCAGAAATGTTACAGCCACTGTACCACCGGGAACTGGAGAACATAATAGAAAACGAGCTGAAAAGAACCCGGAGCCTCGTCTGATAGTCAACATCAACGCAATAACAGAGGATGGTGATGTCACGAGGGACATTAAGAATAATATTGCTGAACCTATTTTGCATCGCAAACCTGGAGAGTCTCTAACATTGGAAGAACGCGGTAGTTCGCTTTTTTCGAGATTTTCTTCACGATCAAAGATACCAGAAGAGCCAATACTGAAAACTCTGGCGGAGCCTACCTCTTTGAAAAATGTTAGCTCGAATAAAAATAAATCAAGAGCGTCTCTAACAGCAGTTACGCCTCCGACGCATAGGAAAGCGCCAGATGGGAAGATGTCCGTCGTGCACTCAATTACTAATGCAACTGCTAAGAAAAACAATGATCGCGCAGAAGCGGGCAAAACTATGGAGCTTCCTTCAAGATCAGCCCATAGAGCCACAAAGTCCACAATAACTGCTGGTGAGAGCTCGTCCCTCAAAGGGAAGAAGAACGTTAAACCATTCTCGAAAGCTCATTCACGTTCATCTAAAAGCATGCGTGGAATTATGGCGGAGATGGTGAACACTGTGCTGGAAGTGCATACGAGTGGGCCCACCACGAATGTATCATCACTCGAGCTCCTTCAGAATGATAGCCCTAATCGAAGTGCCCAGGAGATTGTCCGCAATAAAAACGTTGGAATCACTGGTACTAGTTCAAATGCCATAAGACGTCGGAAAAATGTGGTAGCACAGAAGAACCATCGCACTCCACAGTTCATTCTGCGAAGAAACTCGTTGCTGATCCCTATAATAAAGCCTCACAAATTCCAAGCGCTTACAGGTCCTGAATTCCTTGAAAAGAACCAAAGGAGTGCAAAGGTTGTTCGAAAAAATCTGAATGTTCTATCCGTCAGCGCAGCGCGAACCCTACCGAAGGAAGTAGGGCGACAAAAAAAATTGGTTGGTGTGAAAGCGGGAGAAGTACGCAGTCACAGGAAACTTCCCATCATTGCGAAGGGTGCTACATCAAGGGTTCACAACGACGCTGACAAACATTTATTTACGAAGAATTCGGATGCAGATTTTGATCAAGAACTCGGCGATGCGGAGGTATCCGGGCGAGTAGCAAAGCTACTACGACTCATTGCAGCATCTGTAGAGCCTATGAACATAGATCAGCTTATAGAGAGCATAGAATCGCAATCAGTCGCTAGAAGACAGTCGAAACAAAACCGCTCAGCTAATCTTTCGCTCCCGGTGAACTTGGATTCAGGAGTCAGCCCGTTGTCACCACTGAAACATGACATGGAGCTGAAAGCTGAGCTATCAACATCTCATAAGGAGTCATTCCCTTTGAAGGTTGGTACCCATTTAGTAGCGCGCCAGCCTGTTCTATCTGCCCAAAAAGTTCAAATAACGCCTCGTTTACTAAATGTTAGAGCTCTCAATGCGAGAAAGTCAAATCGATCCATCAAGCAAGAGCCATCAGTGAAACGCAAACAGTCTCCACAAAGCAAGTCAAGAGCTGCACCAACACACTACTCGCCCAAAGCTATACCCTCATCATCAACATTGCTAAGAATCTCTCCATCATCACCTTCAAAAGAGCCTACAGTTCTTCGGAAAGTTCTTCACAGAGCTGAAGCCTCACTCTCCCCAATGCCTTCTCTTCATTCAAAAAGGTCCGTTTTTCATGCAGTTTTTCACAAAAACAGTTCATAAAGTGAACGCCTGTCAATTTCTTTTCTTGGGCTAAAACACGGTGTAGCGACTTATATGTTTCTGCCACGGATGCATCGTTGTCCTGTGTTCACTGCACCTAGTGCATGCTTGATAGTTTGTTCCATGTCCAATCGTTTTCTGCACTGTACCATTTGTTCTTTTATGTAAATGTCTACTGTCCGTGCCATGAGTTTCTGTGATTACTCCAATTTCTTTCCCTTAGTTTTGGCTTCTTTTCGTTAAACGAGGCTGCAATCCATGCACAGTTCATTTTGTTTTTCTTTGAACTTTGCTAGAACTTAAGAAGTTCTAAAAGTGTTTGTCATAACTACTATGTTTCTATGAGAGCTCTCAATAAACTGTAAATGTGGTATGTGGTCTTCGAACCCAACATTGTAAAGAACGGTAATAAGTGGTGAAGTATTTATACTGATCTAGGCCTACGACGTCTATGGCTAAACCATCTTCAACTACAACTAGAGCAACGACAACGTCAACTACGGCACCTAAACCGACCACGACTACTAAAACAAGCACAACTACATCCACATCAGCTGCAACCACTACGCAAAAGACAACGGTGACAACCACGGTTACCACAACCCAAAGGACTTCAGCAGTAAGCGTGTTGATTCCGTGCTTCATTTGTTTGTAGCGTTGAAGTGTTCTCATAACACTTTCATGAGTGAGAACCGCTACTTGGCTTCGACATAAGTTATTGATCCCACCAATGAGAGTGCGTGGGTGGGTTGCTGCGGACTCAAGTGTCTGTTGGTGGGAAAGGTCGCCTTAGATGGGCTTCTATGCACGCCTCGACTCACGCATTGACTCGCCTTCATTTATGGATAAATACTGTAGTTTGGAACGTGAGGATACTACTCGGCTGCGCCTCTTTGTCCCTTCCCCTAATTGTGATTTGCGATTTAGGCCTGCTGCTTGGCAAAGAAACTAAAGCTAGGTATTCCAGCTGTATCCGCCCGCCACAGGAGATTGCTCACCATTATAGTGCTCGGTGGATCAGAGCAAAAGCGGTGAGAATCCTTTGGGGCGAGGGACAGTAGGAAGGAACAATAGTGAGTGACGATGAGATGTTAGCTACTGCTTGGGGTCAAGGCATAAATCAGCATTATTGTGACAACAGAAATTGTTATGTTGTAGTCGGACTGAAATTACGAACGCCGGCTACGAGTGTAAATGATAGCGGCCAGGAATCAAAGTATGTTGTATTTATGAGGAGTTTCCGTCGTTCTACAGAACACTTACCTATCCCAACCCCTCTCCCCTGCATTCTTCAAGGCGTATTTGATGAAGTGAAATGCAGTATCGGTTGGAGCAAAATTTGCTGCACATGTCCATATTTAATATTTAAGACATCTACAGTATCACCACCAACGACGTTGAAGATATCTCTGAATCGCTCCCCGGAAATTTTCACTGCTGGACCTCCAGCAACAGAAAGGCAAGTGCAACAGTGTAACTGTAGTTATGACTATGGCTCAAACCAAATCTATTTCCGTCCATTATTACTTTATCTTGCCGGAAAAGCTCCTTTTCCGCCGATATGACCACTCGGTTCACTTCCTCCTCCTTTTTTAGTGAAAAGCTGTACACTAACCTTAGCGGATTCTGGTCCTTGCCATGTGTGAGATTAATCGGTCCTGTGCTGCAGTAGCGTGCAACTTTTTCCAGTCAAAAGTGCACGGGAATCTAGCTGGAGAGTAGTGGTAAATGGGTCTCCATATTACGCTCACACTGTCGCACGGCCTTTCACATGCCTAACCATAGCCGAATGCGCTGCTTGCCCACCTTCTCACCTGGTTGTTGTATTTCACTGATTGTGTGTTTCGCTGCGGGATCTGGTATGGACATGGACTCAAATGCCGATCTCGGGGGTAGCGCGGGAGGAGTATGGAGATGCGCATGGGTATTGCAACCCTCCAGCCCCGTCCTTGTGCACCTTTGAGGCAGACAAAGGGGCACGCCACTGCAGGTACGGACCCGTTAACCTCATGCATAGTTAGGGCCACCTTCGGAAAGAACGTACCCGATTGTCTTCAAGGAAACTTGTGACCTGCTTCGTTTTTTGAGGTTACGACGAGTTTTCAGGGCTGCTCGACCCCAAAAGTCATCGAAGGATGCAGTGTCGTTCGACATTTTCCACAATGGGCAGACCGTTGAGGCAGTTGTTGTTGGAACCAAAATCACATTGTCTTTTGCTCCTCTTTATGCAATTCCACGTGGGTCCTGAGCTTTTAGTCCTGTCAATATTTCTCTCCTGGTATCCGTCACCTTTGAAATAACTGTTTCTTTCAGCTGAATATATGTCAGTCCAGGAATGCCAAGTAGAACCTATTGACTCAAAGTATGAATGGGAACGAGAACCTCTGCCCATAATTCGTGAGGGTTGCCAAGCTGACCTCGTAGGGTTGGTTTGTCCACCTAAGCGATCCGACTTCGGAGTGAAGGTTTGTACTGGAACCATAGGAACGTTGCATATATAGCAAACCTTTTACGAACTCGTTGCTATTCCAGATTACTGTTGAGTCGTTCCGCTATCAGAGCACACCTCATGTTCAGTATTCGTGTCTTGTACGGATTTGCCCGTTCGCTCCATGTCCCACTGTACGTTTACAAAGATTTTGCTAGTGCAAACATGTCTGCATGTACGAATTCAGACCAACTGTCCACCGGTCGAGGGTTGCCCAGACAAGCGTGTTGCACGCGGTCTCACTCTTGAAGAAATTCGCCGCGCGTTGGAAGCAGATCCAAAGCTCGCAAGTCAAATTGGAATTCCACCACATATGTTGACAGCTCGACCTGGAACCAACGGTGCGTTTGTTTCTTTCCATTCGTGTTCTACTCAGGTTTTCAAAAAACAGATTCGCCCCGGAATTTTCTAGCAGTCAGTTTTGGCCAAGTTCTCTTCTGGCATAGGTTTTAGGTCATCCCATTCAAAAGTGCCGCGACATATAGAGGAATGGCAGAAAAGCAAAGGGGATAGGGAAGCGGGCTACTATACCATTTGGAGGCTAGTACCTTTAGCTGTGTATCTGTGAAATTTGGCGAACCTACCCACAGAAGAAGTTCTCGAGAAATTGAAAAGAAGCCCGAGTGGTGAAAATCAGCGCCGATTTTCAAATCAGGCGTCAAGAGGGAAGTGCGCTGCTCAAATTCGACCGGCGCCGGACCAGTAGTTGTGTGTAATGGTGTTCTCGAAATACAAGGTGGAAGGTTTGGTTCAGGAGCCCGAAGAAGGAAGAAAGGAAAAAATTTGTTGTCGTGGATGGTCCCATAATGTTCATCCTGCACAAGAAAAAAGGGTGGATGAAGTCAAGCGCTGAATGTCTGATCCCAGAGCTGGACCTTTGTCGAGCTTCCCGCGAGTCTGACATCCCAGCTGCAACTGCTGCCCGAGTTATGTCCGATAAACTGAGGATGGTCAAGAGGGTGTGCGCATGGGTACCTAATTTTCTTGTAGAAGCACGAACGCAGTACCGATTCTATACCTCTAGCAGTAATGTTCTCAGCATGAGATGTCATTCACGACTGTGAAAACGCACCCCGGCCCTAGATGAAATATGGGTGGTCTTGGACCTCGAGCCAACTCACAATCGTCAATTTTGTATGAATGCAGATGAGAAGCCGCCCGAGTTCTACCATGAGGAGTTACGTGGGCGCAAGTGGATGATCATCATAGCGAAGGATTCCCACACTGTGGCTTTCAGGGGGCTCTATACAGAGAATAAAATCGTTGCTGTCGGTGTATATTGCCTGTTCCTCGGCAATCAGATCGACAATGGATGGTACCACACAACTACAAGAAGGCCACCGTTGCTCGTCATAGTGCCAGACCCCGAGTAACTGTATTGTAGGGCAGTGCTGGGACACAAACAATACTGAGACCTGGGTTCAATCGCCCCATTCGCCCGACATAAAGCCGAGCGATTCCAATTGTTCTCGTCAGTCGAGAGTACTCTCCGACGGCAAACGCTACAATGTTTTGTCATTCGCCGAAATTGGCATCAACAGCAATTTACTCGCACTTGTTGAAAAACCGAAGGTACCAGAGGTCCAAAGGCTTCCGGAGCACTGGGGTCATTGGTGAAGGAGGGATTCACTTAATCCGAAGCAAGAAAATATCACTTTATATCTATTCTCCTCTTCGTTTTATTCGAGTAAAAGCCGACGGCACTTTTGAATGGGATGACCTAATATAACAAAGGTTCGTGAGCTGAGGTTCAAAAATGACGTGTCAACCATCACGTTACTCAAATGACATGTGAGGCAGTGTTCAGAATTCACAATGACGCCCGTCAATGCGCTAAAACGCGCGATGAAGCGCTGTATTGCGCTTCAACGCGCTACAGTCACAACACTGCTCCGAATCTATAGACGCGAACGCAGCCGACGGCCGGTGCTGATCGATACCAGTTTACATGACTACGCAACACCTACCATCCTCGGCTAATGCCGTTTGGACTCCAGAAATTTCGGCTCCGAGCTCATTTTAAAAGTGGCAAGATCACCAAATCCGCTAAAAACTTGTATATAGCTTGTACTAAACTAAAAGCTTGTATAGGGGTAATTCAACATCCTGATCACGAATATGACATTCATTTTTGGCGCTGGCGCTAATGGATGACACTACGGTTACCTGCGCTCTGCTAAGGCTGAGCCCAGGAGGTAATCGTAGTGTCCTCTCTTGGCGCCAGCGCCAAGAATGAGTGTCATACTCGTAATCAGGATGTTGAATTACCCCTATATACAAGTTTTTAGTGGATTTGGTGGCTTAGGCAATTTGAAAATGAGCTCGGAGCCGAATTTCTGGAGTCCAAACGGCATTAACCACCATCCTCCCATACTCTCTCGCAACACAAGCAGCCGGCATTCAACAATCAAGCGTTTGCTGTTGTAAATGTAGCGCGTCGACGCGCGTCATCCCGAAGTCTGAATGCTGCCTAACACAATAGTGATAAGACGGGAATCCGCATTATCAGTGACGTATCAAGGTACGTCGCTGACGTGTCATATGATGTATGAGAGGCTATGAACCCCCCCCCTCCCGCTCGACGGCAGTTTTTTGGGTAAAAGTGGAGAAATGCTAGGAAGCTGGGAAAAAGGAAGATGGTGAGAAGGATGGCGAAGGGGATTGTGCAGAAGGAGGGAATTTGTGAGGTTAGTACCAAGGGTCGTAATTGCGAAAATTTCTCTTAACGGCATGACTTGCCTAGAGTAACATAGAATCCACAACGCGGCAGCGGCTCAGCGGGCGAACATTCTGAACAGCGGCGGTTTTGTTTGCTACCAATAGTTGCCGAACTGGTAGAAAACGGTACCGCCGTCAGATGTCGCTCTTGCACGCGCTACCAGTGTGCAGCATTATATGAGGTACTGAACCACGTACCGTACTACGCCGCTGTCCCTTTGCTGTCGTCTACCTGGTCCTACTAATCTCATTTTCCTATTTAAGTAGAGCAGCAACTTCTCGCATTGGGTGGCGAACACACTGTCAAGCGGCGTCTGGTTGTGGTGAATTCGGAAGATCAGCTTCGTTATTATGTTCGAACCGGAGAGCTGATATGATCAACATTCTCCCTCACTTTCGAATCACGGAAGAGACCAATACGATGGGTTCGCGGATTCCTTCTGATCTGAATTGATAATGCTGGCTATTCTCTTTCATTTCACCATATCATGTTTGTATTCTAATAAGACGTTTTTCTCATATTTGTACATATTCTAACGTGCCAATTTTCAGTGAATAAATCATTCTCAAATGCAGATTCATATCAGCTATATTAAGCTTGGCTTCCTCCTAACAGTGCTGGTAACTAAGCAATGTGCAGTCCTGACCTGAAGAGGGTTTGCCAACGGACTTACTGTTAGTTGAGTTGACAGAGACGCGAGGTATCCCTATTCTCTCATGATCACACTGCTTCAGTCTCTGCCCTAATACGGAAGGCGGAACCTCGTCCAGGAGCTGGGCCCACAACTCGGAACCTCATCCAGGGGCTGGGCCCACAACTATTTCCGTGGGCACGTCCTCTCCAGGGTCCATGGTTTGGAATGCAGTGTTAATGGCTCAGTAAAGCACGTCCATATAGAAATGTAACAGCAAAAAGAAAGATTCGCAAATTGTAGATTTGTGGTTCGTATGCTGCTATGGAATTCTAAAAATATTTAACTGCGCGAAATTCTTCTCGAAAATTGTAAATAATCAACAGACGATGGGCAATCATACAGTCGAGACACCTCGAATTATGTTCGAAATTACTGCATTCCTGTGTTGTCACTCTGAGCCGTCTGATCCACCGCTCCAATTTCTCGTGCGTGCTAAACAACTTTTTTTTTTCAACAATTCTTTCTTTCTCTTCTAACAATCTCTTCAATTCTTTCAACAGACTTGGTAAGGTGATTGCAGACATTGAGTCAACGTTGCAGCGTGAATCTCGCAAGTGACTTTCAATTGACCAAATGAGCCGTTTCCTTGAACATTACCCTGGAAGCTATCAGCGAGAGCGCCAAATGGAGTAGTCATGTTGAAAGAGTCAAACTGCCCTTCAAAAGGATTTCCAGCTAAAATGAGATATTAGAACTTGCTTGTTTACCTCCAGAACATTGCGTCATTACAAACGTTGACCATTGCTCGCTTGCTGGATGGTACCCATTTCAACTCTCCTCTCTCTAACCAGTGTTTGAACCGTGCCAAGGGAGATAGCCCACCATTCGACCCCGCCTCAAGACAGCGTTCATACTTCGCGACAGCAGCGGCGATCGCGGCGACCTCGGCGATCGCCGCGATCGTCGGTACGTGGCAGAGCGCGCCCCAACGCTATTATGGACCGCTCGCTTGATAAATAAGGGAATCCAACTTGTGATTTCTCTTAATAATGGCTACTAACTGATAAGTTACGACTTTCTATGCATAAGCAGATCTGGAATATGAGGTAAGAAGGTTTCACTTCTTTTTAGGTCGGGATAAGGCCAACTCTTTTCCCTGGGTGAGCTTCTTTTTGTTTTTGTTGTTTTTATTGTTTCAATTTATACAAGCGCTTCGAAAGTTCCTATCGTCTGAACTGTTCCAACTTCCAAAACATTTATAGTTTACAAGTCGAGTTCAAACAACGAAGAAAAAAAAACAGAAAGAAACTCACCTAGGAACCAAAACACTAATCATTTTACGCAACATCAACAGGTGAAAACTTTATAGCCTCATGTATAAGCTCGAACCCTCATATATAAGCTCGAACAATGAAAAAAGAAACAATAAAAACCTACCTTAAATGAAGCTATCACGCTTTTTGCTCATTTCTATCCTGAATCAAGAAAGAAAATAGAAAACAAAAGCAATTAAGCTGGGTTCACCTTTCCTTGAGTCAAACTAAGCTTCAGTACCTAAGGAAATTGTAGTTAAAGGAAAAAAAGCATGAAATTGGTCGCTTACCCCCAAAAGCCTTCGGAGCGCACGTAATATCGTTGGGGCGCGCTCTGCCATGTACCGACGATCGCGGCGATCGCCGAGGTCGCCGCGATCGCCGCTGCTGTCGCGAAGTATGAACGCTGCCTCGCCAGCAACAGTGTCAAGTTGTAACTCTTGACACTGTTGCTAACATCAGTAAGGCGTGCAAAGGAACCCATCTCTATCCTCCTCTAGCTTCCACCTTTGAATCCATATTTCAAGAACTTGATAATGGCCCATATATCTTGATAAACAAACCGGCGCAGAAGAGTGGGCAGTGGATAGAATAAAATAGACAGAATGGAAAAGACGGGTAGCTGGCTAAGACTGAACCAGTTCACAGGTTAAGTTGAATACCATTGAAGACAAACTGTGCTAAGACAGACTCACTTGAGAACGATCTATTCCGTGTAAGGTCATTCAATCTCCAACTACAGTAGCGCAGCACTTTCTTCGCTAATTAGGGCACGGGAACGGGGCTGGAGGGTGGTAATAACCTGCTGCTTTCTCTATACTCCGCCCACTCTCAATGTGCACCATTTGCGTTGACACCAGGATCCAGCGGCGAAAGACGCGCTCAACACTGAAGAACAACCAGAAGTGAGAGTGCGCAGGCAAGTAGCGCGTTCGGCTATGCTTACAGTCCTCATCATTGCGGACCGGTGGGGCGTGTCAGCCAGTATGAGTGTGCACACTGTTGAAGCCGTTCTCAGCCTTTTTGTTGAAACGCGTATGCGACAAAAAGTGGTAGAAAACGAGTAATACGAAGGATATAATACAGTAATGTCACTTGCCCGCTTCAACAACTGGTGCAGAACGACTTTGGCACCGCGCCAAACGCAGCCGCACTGACACGCCCCACCGGTCCGCAATGATGAGGACTGTATGTTAGGCAGCCTTCAGACTTCGCGACGGCGGCGCTT